GAAAAGAAGCACCCATTGCATTTTTCTCAAGAACACTTAGCAAGCCAGAAAGAAACTACAGCCAACTAGACAAGGAAGCCCTTGCCATCGTCGCAGCCGTAAAGAAATTCCACGAGTATCTTTACGGCCGTCGATTCACAATTATCACAGATCACAAACCGTTGCTAGGAATCCTGGCGGGAAACAGGGCCACACCGAACATCATATCCCCCAGGATGACAAGGTGGTCCGAATTCCTCGCCGCTTACGACTACCGGCTCATACACCGCCCCGGTAAGACAATCACCCATGCAGACGCACTAAGCCGTTCACCATTACCCGACCTCGACGACGACCCAGCACCCACGATGACCACCCTCATCATAGAGGCGCTACCCGATCTGCCCATAACCGCGTCAGACATTGCCCGAGAAACAAATAAAGACAAACGTCTGGCGCAGGTATTGCACTGGGTAGAGAAAGGGTGGCCGGAAAAAGACAACGACGAATCATTCAAACCCTTCAGAAACAGGCAAACCGAACTATCTCTACAGAAAGGTTGTTTGTTATGGGGGGACAGGGTGGTCGTACCAGAGAAGTTGCGAGGGAAAGTGTTAAAACTTCTGCATGACGGGCACCCAGGCATCGTACGAACAAAAGCCTTGGCCAGAAGTTACGCGTGGTGGCCAGGCATAGACAAAGAAATTGAAGGGTGGGTGGCCAGGTGTTCACGCTGCCAAGAAACCAGACCAAATCCCCCTGCCGCGCCAATATTAGAATGGGAGACCCCCAGGGGACCATGGTATAGAGTACATATAGATTTTGCTGGTCCCACAAGGGGACACACATTCCTCATCACGGTGGACGCTTACTCCAATTGGCTGGAGGTAAGCGACATGAAAAACACCACAACTGAAGCCGTCACCAGGGTACTAAATAAACTGTTCGCGACCCACGGCCTTCCGGATGTCGTCGTGTCGGACAACGGGCCCCAATTCACCTCGCTGGAATTCGAAAAATTCCTAGCAGAAAAGGGCATACGACACGCCTTGACAGCGACGGCTCATCCGGCGGCCAACGGTAGGGCAGAACGGATGGTCCAATTCACAAAGAAAACCATCCAGAAAATCGAGCACGGGAATATACAGGAAAAAATAAATAAACTGCTTCTAATACAACATATAACCCCTAACACGACAACAAACAAAAGCCCGGCAGAATTACTGATGGGGAGGAAACTAAGGTCCCCACTTGACAGACTGCACCCCACATACAACCCGGAGAAGCCCCCGGACTCATCAAGCAAACACCGGGCATTTAAACCAGGCGATGCAGTCTACGCAAAGAACCTTACCGGAGACCCACTATGGGTACCGGCAACTATAACCCAAATAACAGGTCCCCATTCATACAGACTACAAACAACGGACGGACAACCATGGAAACGCCACATAGATCAGTTAAGATCTCGAATAAAAAACACAACCGACACGCAAGCAAACACAGACAACCCCATTAACACTAACCAAGGGGGGAGGGAAAATACAGGGGACCAAGAAAGAATAGAACACAACCAACTATACTCACCAGATATCAGCCAACTCGAAGCCGCACCAAGGAAAAGCAGCCAAGCCAGCTCGACCAGCCCGGAAAGACCAAGCGGGAGCGGCAAAAGCCGCAGCTCGACCAACCCGGGTAGACCGGGAGGGAGCTGCAGCAGCAGGCCCACACTCCAGACGATTCCATCAAATAGACTGAGAGCAACTAAAACCCCGACCGAACAGGCCGGGAACCAGGAAACAACTGACCTGCGCAGGTCCAGTAGACAAGTACGGAGCCCCGCCTACTTACGGGACTACGTTGCGTAGGAACGAACCAAGAGGGGAGGGGTGTTCTGTACAAAGAATTAACATACTTGCAAACCCCGCGCTGCGATTGGCTAAAGCGCGCGGCAAACCGGATTGGTCGGGCAAGCCACCCGGATTGGTCCGTTAAGAATCTCCCGCTATTGGTCGAGCCAAGAGCGGGAGATTCGAAACGATGTCATTGGCCGCGGGCCGCCGCGGCTTGGAAATAAAAGCCGGGGTTTTTCCTTCCTTTCCCCAAGCATGTACTGGAGCACAATAAAGAGCTGAACTTGTCACTGACTCCGAGCTTCCTTCCTGCGCCGGACACGACAGAATCTGTCTGGTGTAGCCAAGACAAGAAAACTGACAGATTTCTTCTTACAAACTGCAGAGAAAGATGATCCAGATCAAAACCAGTGTCAGTCTTCAGAGACAGCAAGTGAATCAAATCCTTCTCCTTCATCAGAAACAGGCTGTGTTGATGCAAGTCCAGATTTTCATGATGATGTTGCACATGATGAAGTGCCACAACTGGGACCTAGTTCTACAAGATGTGTAAATGCTTTTGAACTGTCCAAGAAGTTTAGAGAACTGACCAAGGATGAAATGAACAAAGCTAAGGAGCCAGGGTTGTGGGATGAATTTTATGGTGATGATGTGACTTATTGGGTGGCTTGTGGACCCAGTGAATGTCAGCACCACAATGGACCATTTCACAAATCGTGTTGCAATTTCATCATTGGGAAGCCAAAGAGATACTGTTCACAGAAAATCTTTTTTGGAATAAAAACCAATGTTGAACACTACAAAAAAGAATGGCTGTTGTACTCTCCTTCAAAAGGATCATTTTACTGTTTTGTTTGTAAACTATTTGTGCCCAAAGGATCAACGCATTTTGCTAGAAAGGAAGGATTCAGTGATTGGCGAAACACTGCTGTAATTGACAACCATGAAAAAAGTACAACTCACCGAGATGCCATGTTGACATATTTAACTCGGAAACAAGGCTTAGGCTTGATGCAGCCACTGGAAAAACAAATTAAAGAGGAGTACAATTACTGGAAGAATGTGGTTCGGCGTGATGTAGCAGTCATTTGCACACTGGCTGAATGAGGATTGGCATTCTGAAGAAAAGTGGAAAAATTTGGGTCTCTCAATAATGGGAATTATTTAGGGCTACTCGAATTAATAAGTCAGTTTGACCCATTCTTGGCTGCTCACATATCACGGTATGACAATACTGGAAAAGGCAACCCTTCGTACCTGTCCAAAACTATATGTGAGGAACTTATTGAGTTAATGGCAAAGAAAGTGCACTCCATCATCATTGACAAAATTAATGTTTCTGGGTACTTCCATCTGTCTGTGGACTCAACGCCTGATCTTTCACATGTTGACCAACTGAGCATAGTGCTCAGATACTTGCAAGATGGACAGACAGTTGAACATTTTATCACATTTTTGTAATTAGAAAACCACACTGGTGAAACTATGGCACAGCAGGTGTTGAAGTACTTATGTGAAGTTTGTAAATTGGATTTTGCTAAATGCAGAGGGCAGTCATACGACAATACTGCCAACATGTCTGGATGTTACAATGGCATGCATCAAAAACTTTTGGATGCAAATCAGTTTGCTATTTATGTACCCTGTGTTAGGGATAACATTGTTTACCCTAACTGGTTTGGGTAAAAATAATAAATAAGTTATCATGGTTTGTTGGTTAAAGTGTGTGTAACTTTAACTACAAGAATGTAATTAAGGGTGTGGTTGTAAAAGCACCATAAAAGAAGCAAGTCAATTGCAGCTCTCTATCTCTGGCTTAATGATCCCTAATTACTGGATGGATTGATGACTGCGTTTTTCCTTACTGGAACGGTGGAGAGAAAGGAGTGTTGATTTCTCAACAGAGAGAAGAGATAATACGGAATGATTTATTGTAAGTGAACTGACATTGGCTATTCAACACGGACTTTGCAAATTGAGTATCCCCGACTGGACTGACTGAAATGATACATGACTAATGGACCGTTTATTTTGACTATGCTATAATTCCTAATGGAATAAACTATATTTTGATAGCACAAGCGTATCTGTTTTTTACTGCGTGTTAACTAAAA